CTCTGCCAGCCATTCCAACAGAGCCCCTTGGCCCACCCCTGCCTGGCATCCTTCCACCCTGGCAGTCTGTCTTCTGAGTCAGGACTGCACCTTCCCACCCCCCCCCCGACCCCCCCGAGTCTTCCCGTTGGGGCCTTATCCTCACAGACCTGCTGGGGTGCAGGGGTGGAATGACGGTTAGTTTGCAGTGTAGGGTGGGAATCAGAAACCTATCCCGAATAATTACAATAGTGTGATGGTTTCTGCCATACAGCAGCATGAATCAGCAAAGTTTAGGGGCAACTTTAATAAAAGTGGAAGAAAAAAATACTATCCCGGATTCTCCACTTCAAAGACATGTGACCATGGGTAGGTTATTAACACTTTCTAAGATACTTTTGAAATAGGGGCACACATTCCAGAATGTTCATAACCCCAAGTCAGTCCTGTTTTTTCCCACTGCTATGGATCATAAAGGCCTTCCTCACCGACACCTAGTGGACCCAAAATGCAGTCCAACTAGCAATTTTAGGTAGTATCTTCCACTGCTGCCAGATTAAATTTCTAAAGACAAGCTTACTCCCTGCTTCCTTCTGCAATTAATGAACATTAGAAAATGACCCCCAAACTGCCCTGCTCTCTATATTCCTTGCTGATTGTGCACCCGCACTTTCTGACCTTCATACCTTTACTTATGCCTCTTTCTCCACTATAGTCCGTTCCTCTTTCTAAATTTCCTGTAAGATTCTGGCCATGCTGCATGACTAACTCAAATGTCACCTCCTTCAGGAAGTCGTCCATTATTTCCTCAGTGTACTTGTAGTTTTTGAGATCCAAGCCTCTTTAAATCATTATGATACCTGACACACGAACTGGTATTGCAGTTGGCCTCTCTGTTATGCTTTCTATCAATATCCTATCTTTTCTTATCACACATTTTAAGTTCTTTGAAATCCGGAGTCATGGCATTTTCGTTGTACCCCCAGAACTTTGTAAAATATAAATTAAAAGTAAGAGGGAGTGTTTAGCTTTCTAAATAACAATTTTACCTCAAATTATACTTTCTTATTTCAAATAAAATAGATTACATATTTATAACTTGCTATGTAAACACATGAACTTAAAAAGCAGTACTGTTTAAAACCTAACAGCTTTAATAGTATCTCAAAATATATTCCAGAATTTTCCTTACAAAATTTTGTATTACTAGAAATTGTCATTTTAATAACCTGCAATTCAGTAACATTTGGTAATAACAGAAATCAAATAGAGCATGTAAAGCCCTTAGAACATTACTCAGCACAGTAATAAATAGTAAACACTATCTAATTATGAGCTATCATTACATTGTTGTTGATATAATTCATCTATGTAATTAAATGTTGTTGTTGTTCAGTCCCTCAGTTGTATCTGACCTTTTTCGACTCCATGTACTGCAGCACTCCAGGCTTCCCTGTCCTTTACCATCTTCCAGAGCGTGCTCAAACTCGTGTCCAGTGAGTTGGTAATGCCATCCAGCCATCTCCTCGTGTTGTCCCCTTTTTTTCCTGCCTTCAATCTTTCCCAGAATCAGGGTCTTTTCTAGTGAGTTGGCTCTTCGCATCAGGTGGCCAAAGTATTGGACATTTAGCTTCAGCATCAGTCCTTCTAATGAATATTCAGAATTGATTTCCTTTAGGATTGACTGGTTTGATCTCCTTGCATTCCAAGGGATGCTCAAGAGTCTTCTCCAACACCACACTTCAAAACCATCAATTCTTTGGCACTCAGCCTTCTTTATGGTCCAGCTCTCACATCCATACATGATTACTGGAAAAACCATAGCTTTGACTAGACGGACTTTTGTCAGCAAAGTAATGTCTCTGCTTTTTAATATGCTGTCTGTTTGTCATAACTTTTCTTCCAAGAAGAAAGTGTCTTTTAATTTTTTATAGCTGCAGTCACCATCTGTGGTATTTTTGGAGCCCATGAAAATAAAAGTCTGTCACTGTTTCCCCATCTATTTGCCATGAAGTGGTAAGATCAGATGCCATGATCTCAGGTTTCTGAATGTTGAGTTTTAAGTCAACTTTTCCACTCTCCTCTTTTACTTTCACCAAGAGGCTCTTTAGTTCCTCTTCACTTTCTGCCATAAGGGTGGTGCATCTGCATATCTGAGGTTATTGATATTTCTCCTGGCAATCTTGAATCCAGCTTGTGCTTTATCCAGCCTGGCATTTCACATTATGTACTCTGCATATAAAGTTAAATAAGCAGGATGACAATATAAAGCCTTGACATACTGCTTTCCCAAATTGGAACCAGTCCATTGTTCCAAGTCTGGTTCTAACTGTTGCTTCCTGACCCACAAACAGGTTTCCCAGGAGGCAGGTAAGGTGGTCTGGTATTCCCATCTCTTTAAGAATTTTCCACAGTTTCTTGTGACCCACACAGTCAAAGGCTTTAGTGTAGTCAATGAAGCAGGAATAGATGTTTATCTGGAATTCTCTTGCTTTTTCTATGATCCAACAGATGTTGGCAATTTAATCTCTGGTTCTTCTGCCTTTTCTAATTCTAGCTTGAACATCTGGAAGTTCTCAGTTGATGTACTGTTGAAGCTCGGCTTGGAGAATTTTGAGCATTACTTTGCTAGCATGTGAAATGAGTGCAATTGCGTGGTAGTTTAAACATTCTTTGGCATTGCCTTTCTTTGGGATTGGAATGAAAACTGATTCCAGTGAAATGGAATTCCAGCCGAGCTATTTCAGATCCTAAAAGATGATCTGTTAAAATGCTACACTAAGTAAGCCAGCAAATACGGAAAATTCAGCAGTGGCTCCAGGTCTGGAAAAGGTGAGTTTTCCAGTCCCAAAGAAGGGCAATGTCAAAGTAATTAAGTAAACTTGACAAAAAATGAGAGTGTCTATCTTTTTTATTTTGAAACTTTCCAAAAGAACTTTCACTTGAGGGTGCAATTTTGAGATTGATTGTTGTTCAGCCACTAAGTCATGTCTGACACTTTGTGCCCCATGGACTGCAGCACATCAGACTTCCCTGTCTGCCATCTCCTGGAGCTTGCTCAAACTCACGTCCATTGAGTCAGTGATGCCCTCCAACCACTTCATCCTCTGTTACCCCCTTCTCCTGCCCTCAATCTTTCTCAGCATCAGAGTCTTTTTCCAACGGTCGGCTCATTTGAGACTGACAGCTAAAACTAATTGTTAATAGAGAATGAGGGGGAAGGGAACTGATTTCTCCATGTGACAGGTGCTTTCACATATGTTCTTTCATTTCTTCACAACAGTCTCATAAGGTAAGTATCATCCCCACTTACTGATGAGGAAACTGAAGCTCAGGACTTCCCTGGTGGTCCAGTGGCTAAGGCTCCACGCTTTCAATGAAGGGGGCCCAGGTTCAATCCCTGATCAGGGAACTAGATCTCACATGCCACAACTAAGAATTGGCAGGCCGATCCCATATGCTGCAACTAAAGTTCCTGCATATCAGAACAAAGACCAGACATAGCCAAGTAAGTAAAAAGCAATATTAAGAAAAAAATAAACTGAAGCTCCAGAGCAACTTCTCTAATGAATCAGAGCTTTGAATGGCAAACTCAGTATTCTGAAGCCCCTTCTATCAGCATTACTTAATGAAAAAAGTAGAGGAATTAGTACTACCACAGGATGCTTCTTCCAGAATCAAAAGAGATGATGTTCACAAATGCCTTTCCAAACTAAAATATGTTATATAAATAAATGTAAAGTAGTAATTACACATGCATGCCTGGTCAGTTGCTCAGTCCTGCATGTCTGACTATTTGTGACCTCATGATCTGCAGCCTGCCAGGCTCCTCTGTCCATGGAATTTTCCAGACGAGAATACTGCAGTGAGTTGCCATTTCTTTCTCAGGGGAGATCTTCCCAACCCAGGGAAGATCTTCCTGTGTCTCTTCCATCTCCTGTATTTGCATGTGGGTTCGTTACCACTGCATCATCTGAAAAGCCCTAGGATTCCATAAGAAGTAAGACAAATAGATATCCAATTTCTATCATTTGAGCACAATGCCTTGAATAAAGCATCTAGTGGACTAGACATCATTGACAGGCATTTTAATCTTAATGCTTTACTTTTATGTACTTTTTAAAAAACAGCATTTATTTAGCTTTTGTACTAGCAGGTGGTTACGTTGAGTCCATCACATATCATTTGTATAATTCAGTGTTCATGGGGCACAAACACAAGATGTGTTTTGCAACAAAAGACAAAAATAAGGCGTGGTTCCTGCTCAGATACATAAAGTATGTATAAGGACAGAAAACTTTATCTTTAAAAAGTTTTTTGCATGAAAAGTTTCCAAGTCTTTGGTGATAATCAATGAAATACCTTAATGAAGGTTTTGCAATGGGAACTAACGAGAAAGTACATATTCAAATACTATTAGAAAAGACTGGTTTGGTTTGTCAGGTAAAATGAACAAAGCAATTCTCAACTGATGGCAAGAAGATGCTTCCGTGGCTACCAGAACATTTGGGGCTATAACCAAAAGGCTATGATTTTTTCAAAACAAGAGGACACCTTCTACCTTTGATTCAATTTCATTTCATTTATCTGAAAAATTCAGTTAACACCGAAGGGAACATTGGTCTTTTTAGTTTCTAAATGGGAGAATGTATCTAAAAATATAAGAGATACCAAGGTGAAGACCAAGAAAAATAAACAGTACAATGAGGTGCTAGAAAAAAATTGGGAAAACAACAGAAATGAGAGGGAAGAGTCAAAGGTAAAGACCAGCGCTTCCCTGGTGGTCCAGTGGTTAAGAATCCACCTGCCAATGCAGGGGCCGTGGATTCAGCCCCTGGTCCAGGAAGATCCCACATGCTGAGGGACAGCTAAGCCGTGCATCACAACTAAGCCCATGCTCCAGAGATGGCAAGCTACAACTACTGAAGCCTGCAGGCTCTAGGGCCTGTGCTCCCCACAACTAGAGAAAGCCTGCATGTAGCAACAAAGACATAAAAACAAATATTTTAAACAAGGAAAAATATACTGTAAAATATTTAATAAAAAATAATTGTATAATCTATACAGTATTGAATAAAAAGTACAACAAATTATTTGCACTTCTTTCCAAAACCACATACAGTACAACTTGCAAACTGGGTTCAGCATTCTACAAATAGTACCACACACACCAAGATACAAACTTATTATTCTCTTAAATAAGTAAAAGCTCTGATTGTATACAACAAACTGTGACTTAAATTCCAGGGAAATACTGTTTTAGTTACATGAATAGTTTGATTGTGCCACAGTCTATTTTATTAAAAAAATTAAATTCCTCAAATATCATTTTTCTGCTTGTTTCTGAGTATACATTCCCTATGTAGCAAAATAAAGACAAAATGCAAAACTGAGGTTGCTGTTTATGATATCACTTCCTTTTTCCTTCCTTAGCTAATGCTCTTCTCCTTTCTCTTATTCAGAAAGGAAGGTGACTGGAAAATGACTTATTCTTATCCTCATTCATTTGCTTCTTAAATTCTTGCTTACATAAATGAATATGTCAGTTTTGGAATCTTGACATTACTATTCAGTATTTACCTATGTCATTCTAAAAAAGTTGACCTAGGTTTTTTTTTTTAAGTTAAGGCAACAAAATTGGCTTTAAAATAGTTATGTCTCATATATGCTAGCAGTCACTTGGTAGACTAATTTCCCAATTAAATGTACACATAATAACATTTTTCAAGTAACTTGGAAATGGAATCAACAGCAATTCTTATTTTAAGCAGATATTTAAGATGATCCACCTTTAGAAACAAAAGCAAATTTAATATACAAAATGCAGGAACAAGTCCATCCTAGTTCCTGTCCCACCAAAATAAAGTGGCTCAGTTTGTGAAAAAGACCTTGGAATAATCCAACAGTTAATGACACCTTTATCTTGGATAAGAAGGACAAATAATATAAATGCCATAAATGGACATGAAGTTATTTTAAGAGAAGACTTTCCCATTTTATTTTGAAGATAAAAGGGAATGCAGATACAAAATGGACTAGTTATGCCTTTAGCCCACTTAGTAAATTTTCATCATAAAATTAATAGTCCTTCATACCGAAGAATAAAAGACAAGTAAACCTACCTTAAGTTTTCTGATTAGGTCACTTATATTATTAGTAGGCCTCAAAACTTGCCTTATTTTTTAACTAAATTAGCTTCTCTGGGAAGCATATGAATAATGTAAAAATACACTTCTAAGAAAAATCAACACAAATACATAACAGTCAAGGTGGGCAGTGAGAGTATTTACACAATGAATTTTTAAAGATAACTCAGAATTAACACATATTCTTTATAGAACACCAAACCAGGGCAAATGCTGTCATCTGTAGAAACAAATGCACATGAGTAACAAGGACATGAGAACTAAGTTGAACAAAGGCAGATGCTATTAGAACACTATTTTGATTCTGACTGTAACATCCTGTGGCCTGTGAAACCCTGGTCCCAACAGGCCAAGCATCTGGCTAATCAGACACAGAAGTAGAATACTTGACCTGTGAAACACCAAACTCACTTGTGAGCATGTGTACATTACCATGTGCTGCCTGACTGCGCTTGATTCTTGGTTTTCAAAAGCAAGTTCACTTTTGAAGCAGGAAAAACGCATTGTTAAATTGGCTCTCGTAAGTATTCCAAATACTTCATTTCTCAACTGTATTGTTACTCTGGGAAGACAAGGTATAGTCAACTGGCTGCTTTGAAGTCATGAAATGCATACTCATAAATATGTGTCTACACTTTAAAAAATTAAATATATCCGGTCACAGCGGTTGTGCAGAATTCTTGCAATATGAAGCTCATTTGCAGTATGTTATGAGGGGGCCACTTGAGAACTTGATTCTGGATCTTCTTGCTTTCTATATTTCTTCACAATACTGATTGTACCGTTAGCCAGGAAAACCAGAGCGATGAGTGCAAAGTAACCAGCATAGATGAAGAACTAAAGGGGGGGAAGAAGTAATTTACAGAATTATCCACTAGAAGGTCAGTTCTTCTATTACATATATGTGAACACTATCATTAAAGAAATGTTCAGTTCCTCAATACAATTTCAAAAAGCACCGTGTGCTTACACAACGTGCCAGGCACTGAGGATACGAGGAAGGACAGCATGGCGACACTGACGCCTGACTGCCCGGGTGCCAATCCCGACTACCCACTTACCAGCTGTGTGGCCTGGATGCAGACTCAGTGCCTGAGCCTCAGCTTCATTTACAACCCATTTTGTAATTCATAATACATCCTGATTACAGAGTTGTTGGGAAGGAATGGGATTCTGTATGTAAATGTTTATTGACACAATGCTAATACTGTTAATATTACTGGTTTTCATTTTTGTTGCTGTTCTAAATGAATCCTGGTCTCTATCCTCAAGTCAACTAACTCAAGCTGATATGAGGCCAAATTCTGAAGATCAAGAATTTCCACTCTTTCCCAGAAGAGGGCAGTAGAAGGTCAACTATATACCATTGTAAGATAACTTTTTATAAGAATCTTCTGTAAGCCATTTTTTAATGTGATTATATGATTTATCATCATCATTATTAAAATAACTTACTAAATACTGATAAGCTGGTTCATGGATCCAGTAAGCATGCCGCTCTAACCCTCTCTGCGTGCATGCTAAGTTGCTTCAGTCATGTCTGACCCTTCACGACCCCATGGACTATAGCCCACCAGGCTCTGTCCATGGGGCGCTCCAGGAAAGAACACTGGAGTGGGTTGCCAATTCCTTCTCCAGGGGATCTTCCTGACCCAGGGATCGAACTCACTTCTCTTAAGTCTCCTGCACTGGCAGGAGAGGACTTCTTTAACATTAGCGCCACCTGGGAAGCCTAACCCTCTGAGCCAAGTCCTTTAAAATTTGGATACATTTTCCTATAGGAAATCGGTTAATTAATCATGGCGGTCACGAGTTTGAGCATAGCCCACAAAATTATTATTCCATACATTTAAACCCATCACTTCTGTAGCGATATGACAAGCACTTACTCTCCTACCCTCCATCCCAAATGAAAGCACTTAACCCTTGAGAGGTCTTCCTGACATTTTTATTGCAGGTAGTAACTGGGAAACACGTAAGTCATAATTACTTAAAAGACAGTAATAAGCTCCCATTCCTCTGCTCTATCCACCTTTCCCCTACCCTTTTCTGAGGCAGCATATTGCAGAGGGAGATGCCTAGGTTTCTGAGTCAGATGTTGCTTTGAATCCTGGTTCTGCCATACTATTATTGACCATGACCTTAAACAACACATCTCTCAGATTCATTTTCTTGACCTCTAATCCTGACAGCAACCCTGCAAAATTCTATATAAAGTACCTGGCACACAGAAGGCACCCAACACACATTATTGTTTCTCTTTTAGATCTCCTCGGTAAAAACAAAGTTAATTACTGCTACATATCAGGTCTTTGTATTCTAGGAAAACTAATACATAAGTGGGAAGAACAATGGAGATAGAATCTTTTGAGCTGAGGTGAGCTGGGGTAGGCACTTTTTGATTCAATTGCCCATTTTGCTAAAGTACATCCCAAGCCCTATTTACAACTCACAATGAATGAAGCCATATACAACTATACAATTCCAGAGTGAATAAACGTATTCACACTGTCTCTGGGTGTTTGTACAGGTGTTTTCTCAATAGGTCATGTGTAATGCTAGTCATCAATAGAAAGTCATTACCTTGGTATTTGGGTGGGGGCTGTTTAAAGAAGGGAGGAGACTCAGAGAGCTCTCAAGTGAAGCAACCATCTCAAACATGGGATACAGTATTCCAGGCACAGAATTAAAAATGGAGGGAAACAATGGGTGAGGAAGCAGAAGGTCTAGGTCCAGATGGAACCAACACTACCTCTCAGCTCCACAAGGCTGGATAATCACACTTAGAAATGTCTAAGGCCTCATCAAAGAGATGATGGTCTCAGCATCCTCCTGGTAGAAAGGAACTAAGGGTGGGGGATAACTGAAGGAAGGAAAGAACACTTTTACTTTCAATTTTCTATCTGTCTATAGTGTTTGAATTTGTTTCCCTGAAGCATGCTCCACTTCTGTTACCCTGATCAACCCATAACATCTTCAGTATTGAAACAGACCTTACCTGAGTGGTAATTTCCAAGCCAAGGCCACTGGCATCTACCACAATTAGAGTGAGCAGAGTCTGCAGTGCTAAGGCAATGAAGGTATTTACACCAAACACTAGGGCATAGCGCTCCATGCTAAGGTTTGCAGCAATCTGAAAACTTAAAAAATAAATAAAAAGAAAGCATAGATAAGAATTACTTCAAGGATAGTTACATTTTTTTATTCCAAATGTGAAAAGTAGCCCATATTTTTCTACTGTCAATTCCCTTCCCAACCAAGTGAAGAGTATTCTTTTGCTAAATGATGTAAACCTCATGCAAATGTCTGAAAACAGTAGAAACATGAACAAGGAAATAAATGAAACTTGCCTAAATGCTTCCTCAAAAGAAAAACTGATAATGCACTTATGGTATAATGCTTCCTCCCATTTGCTCTTGAACCAGAAAATTTAATTTGTAAAGAAACCAAAAAATTAATCCTGTTACAGCTCTTCCTAATGCTTCTTTGAATCGAAATACATACGTTGCTATCGTGATGAGTAACATGTAGATGATTCTGAAGACAACGTAGGATGCGTAGCACACCCAAATGTTACCCACAGTGTCCATGATATACACTGCAGCAGCAATCAGGAGAGAGAACAGAGACAATGCCAGTTCTCCCCAAGTGGACCAGGATATTTTTATGTAACCGACTGCAAACACTGCAACAGCACCTACAAAACAAAAACAGAAAAGCAATTACTCATTTTGCTAAACAAGTACTATTTCACTAAGTGAAAAATTTACCTTAGATGATGACATTTTAAGCTCTTTAAATTTATAACCAGGGTAGCTCAAGATTATGGAGGCCCTTGAAAGTTAGGCAGAGATTTTTGGACCAGAGAGATGATGAGAGCCTGAATCAGGGCAGTGGGTAATGAGATGGAAAAGGAGGACACAGAACCAGGAGTGCTGCTAAGGGAGAGCTACTGAGATGGAGGCAGAGGCAAGAGTCAAAGAGAACCATCCTGCCTGTAGCTTGGCAACATGGCAGGGTGGTTGATCTCTCCTCCCATCTGAGGGGCAGTTCATTACGTGGTCAAATGACAATGATGAGGATAATGAGAGCTAAATGGTATGGAGTGCTTTCTAAGTGCTGGTCACAGTTAAAAGTGTTCACAGAAGTCCTGTATGATCTTCTAAGACCTATGAGGTGGATCAACAAATTAGAAAGGAACAACAGATGCTAATGGCCAAGGACATAGGCTCCGAGTTCAAACCTCGACTTTACCACTGACCATCTATATGACCTTGGGTAAGTGATTAACATATCTTTCAACAGCTTCCTTAATTGGAAAATGGGGGTAATAACTGCAACAAAGGAATTCTGTGAGGATGGTGTTAATATATGTAAAGTCTTTAGAACAGCACCTGCAACACAACATATACTAGCTACTATTGTTAAAGTACTGAACAGTGCTGCTCGAAGTTTCACATATGGCAAAAGCACGCAGTCAATCAGAGATAAAGGAAACCTGGGTAAGAAAACAATTTACAGGATCCTTACATTAGGTTTCCCAAAGGTTATAAAGAACTCAAGTTTGTTATCACAGTCCCCCCTGAATGTACACTTCTGAACTGTCATCCTAAGGATAAAATCAGAGTGAACAGAGTAAACAAACCATCTTTGGGGTGACTTCAAACTTGAGAGGGGAGGGAAACTCTGATCATGGCCAGCTAAACTACCAGAGGACTCTCCCCACCCGCCCGCCCTACCGCCNACCCGCCCGCCCTACCGCCCAGCACCGCTTACCCAGTAAGGTTGAAACGGCCTCCACGCCGCCGTTGTAGATGGCAGCATGGCGCGAAGGCATCACCTGCTCCCACAGGCCCTGTGCGTAGTTCACGACCTGGAAATAGCCGCAGGTGGAGAGGGCCCACCACACAGACCAGCAGAGCAGAGGCCGGGAGGAGTAGCAGAGCAGGAAGTCACTCCACAGGACCTTCAGCACGAGGAGGCGGCCTGGCGCGGCTTCCTGCCCGGGGAAAGGCAAGGAGGCAGCTGGGCAGAAAGCTGTGTGTGGACTCAACTTGCTATTCAGCAGACTCTTTTCTGTTTCCTCGAGAAAACCAATCGCTTCTTTCATATGTGTTGCTGTTCAATTGCTTAGTTGTGTCCGACTCTTTGCAGCCCCATGGATTCCAGCACGCCAGGCTTCCCTGTCCTTCGCTACCTCCCTGAGTTTGCTCAACTCATGTCCATATGTGTTTATATATACATGTGTGTGTGTATGTATGTATACATATATGTATATATGTGTGTGTGTATATATATATGAACTTCTTAGCAATTACATTTATTCCCTCTTGGAGAAAAATATATTTTGCTTTAAATGTTCTATATGCATTAGTACCTCCAGAAAATGATACATTGTTTACAAAACGAAGGTAGAGAGATGGTCAGAGACTGCAGACGTCAGTCAAAGGGAGATGACATTCCACATCTTCCCACACAGGGGCAAGCAGCATTAAGAATAAACAATCATTAGTAATCCCAGTAGGCTACAGTGCATGGCGTGGCAACGAGTCAGACATGACTGAAGTGACTTAACATCCACCAGTAAGTCACTGTTCAGATAGAGTTCATGAATGAGAACCTATCAGATTCACTGAAAGATAATGGTTAAAACACAAGTCTTAGGAAAAATTAAACCAAAATATTAGCAGCAGTTCTCTCTGAGTGAGGGGGTAATCAGTGATTTTAATTTTCTCCCTTATGTTTTTTCCCCCAGTTTGTACAGGAAATATCACTATAATAATGAAGTAACAAAGCTATTATGCATGTAACTGAGTCAATCAAAATATGACTGAGCCATGTTCCATTATCCCTGGACTATGTCACAAAGTCAGTGTGAGAGTCCAGACACCATACTCAAATATGCAATACAGTATTACTAACTACAGTCAGCATGCTGTACATTACATCCCCACAACTTATTTATAACTAGAACTCAGTACCTTTCGACTCCCCTTTACCCATTTCGGTTTTTTTCATACAAACTTTTGGGCCAACTCCAATCATATCAAAGGTCAATCTACCAAAAGTTGCCATTAAGTTCGGAACCTTGCTCAGAATATAGGAAATTTTGCAGCTAACACAGGTAGGCAAAATGAGAGAATCCAGAGACCAAGAGGAAGCTAACTATGAAGCAGCATTCAAGAGGAAGGATGTGAGACAGAAGCCCTGTTATAGATTATTTGCATGGATGGCAGCAGCATGATTCAACCTGCTAGTTGGCTGGCGGCCATGTCTTGCACAAGCTGCTGCTACTCAGTTGCATCAGAGACTGAGGGTTGTGTCCGCCTCCCTGCGGCCCTAGGTACTGTAGCCCGCCAGGCTCCCCTGTCCACAGGGGTTTTCTCAGCAAGAATACTGGAAAGGCAATTAGGGTTGCCATCCCCTCCTCTAGGGGGCCTTCCTGACCCAGGAATCAAACCTGCATCTCCTGCATTGCAGGCGGATTCTTTACCACTGAGCCACCGGGGAAGCCAGTCTTGAAGATGAAACTTCCTTTATTTGAAAAAATTGAGGTATAACTGACCTTCGACACTGTATTAGTTCTGGGTGTGTAACAAAATGATTCTGTATTTGTACACATTGTGAAATGATCACCACAATAAGTATAGTCAATATCTGTCACCGTACATAGCTGTAATTTTTTTCTTGTGATGAGAATTTTGAGATCTAGCAACTTTCAAATAAACAATACAGTATTACTTACTATAATAACCATACTGTACATTACATCCTCAACTTAGTTACAACTAGGACTTAGAACATTTTGACTCCCCTTTCTTTACCCATTTGCTTATCCCCTAGGTCCTGCCTCTGGCGACCACCAATCTATTCTCTGTATTTATGAGCTTGAGGTTTTTTTTGTTTTTAGTTTCCAAATATAAATGCGATCATATGATATTGGGTTGGCCAAAGGTTTGTTCAGATTTTTCCATACAAACTTTTTGCCCAGCCCAATATTTTTGTGTGTCTTACTTCACTTAGCATCCATCCAAGTCCATCCACATTGTTGCAAACAGCAAGACCTCATTTGTTTTTCTGTGGCTGTATAATGTTCCCATGTGTATATATATGTGAGTATACCACATTTTCTTTACCCATTCATCCACTCTTGGACACTTAGGTTCTATTCACATCTTGGCTATTATAAACAGTGCTGCAATGAACTGGTAGGTGTATCTTTTTGAGTTAGTGCTTCCATTTTCTTTGGATATGTAGCCAGGAGTAGAACTGTTGGATCTTGTGGTAGCTCGAGTTTTAATTTTTTTAGGAACTTTCACACAGTTTTTCATAGTGACAGCACCAATTTACATTTCCACCAACAGTGCAAAAGGGATTCCTTTTCTCCATACCCACACATTTCTTATTTTTTTGAAAATAGCCATCCTAACAGGTGTGAGGTGATAGCTCCTTGTGCTTTTGGTCTTCATTTGGTTGATGTTTTTCTTTGGCATGCAGAAGCTTTTTAGTTTGATGCTGTCCCACTTATTTTTTGCTTTTGTTGTCAAATTTAAAAAAAAAATCATTGCCAAGACAGATGTCAAGTTTATCACTTATGTTTCCGTCTAAGCATTTTTATGGTTTCAGGTTTTATATTCAACTCCAAGTCATTTTATGTTAATTTCTGTGTAGCCCCTTCTCTTTAAATAGAACCTTTTAATAGTTATAGTTAAGTGTTTACAATATCAAGTTAAATAATTACTCTTTTCTTAGCACAGTTGAATATATGCAGGAGATTTGTCTGTAATCAACCAAGGATGGAAATTTTCAAGAGTAAGTCTTCTGTTAAGTGCTTTTGAAGGACACAATCCTAATTCTTGCTGTAAACAGTGAACACCTTTTTTATGATGAAACTAAGACTATCATTATTTCCTCAGCTATTGATATTTCACCATCCAAAATGGTTAAAATGTATACAATGAGGGACAGATAAAAGTACACCTAGTTTCAAGGAAAGGAACCAAATATATATCATGGAAGAATGTTTGAGACACACTTTGGGAGACACAAGATTAGAATAGAGCAATACTGATGAACAACATTCAAAGGAAACAAGAACAAAAGGACAGAAGGTGGCACTTTTGAGGTGTGTTTATGAGTCAGCAATGATAGAGTTCTCTTCCAACAGAAAAGGCTTCTGGGACACACTTTCCTGCTCTGGCCTGCTGTGCACTTATCTTATCCTAGGAATACTCATTCCTGGCTCAGTCTGGTCTCTCATAGTGCCCTAGTTCATAAGCCTGAAAGTGAAGCACTGGAGACCTGTTAAGAGCTGGCACAGAGATCTGCCTATGGCTGCTCTTTTTCAGGGGGGATGACACCTATCTAAGTTTCAAGGGCATTAAGCTGCAGAAGGGAGGGGCTACACATCCTCCCCTCCATCCCAACTTAGACATATCTTGGCAGGGGTCCAACTGGAGACAATCAGGGAAACGCTGTGACCACAAATGAGGGGGGAAAAGTAGAAAAGGTCAAAAGACAAACTCTGTCCCTCACACAAGTCTCTCTGATTCCAGCTTTTAGCACTCAGGGCCAACCTGGTGGGAAAGGCAGAGTCCTGCCCAACACAAATCTCCCACCAGTCATTTTTACCATTATGGCTTCAATTCTTTGGATTCTGAAAGCTATTCTGACATAAAAAGACATAGAAAGGTGAGTATTATATTAACAATGAGTAAAAAAACAAAGTTATAAAACATGTAGATTATACTTTTGTTTACTATAAAATGAATAATACATACAACAGCAATGTTTAGAAAGGGCAATAAAATATTAACAGTGGTAATCTTTGCACCCAGCAGTTCAGATGACTTCCTTTTATGTAGTTTTCTGTATTGTTTACTTAAAAATTAAGTATGAATCTTCTAAATAAAATCAGTATAGATTTTCTTTTTCATCTTAAAATGTTTATTAGCCATATATTTTAAGAGGTGACTATTAAAATTAAGTAAATAAAGGCCATCTTCTCCCTAAAATGCTACGATAATCTCACCAGAGTAGGATCATGCAATATTTCATAGTTCTGCCTATTCACACCATCCCTCAGCTCAATTTCACTTGTTTATCACATAGGCATTTTTTTTTTTTTTTTTCTGGCTGCACCACATGGTTTGTGGGATCTCAGTTCTCTAACCAGGGTTTGAACATGGGCCGCAACAGTGAAAGCCAAGAATCCTAACCACTAAGCCACCAGGGAACTCCCCATGGTGCATCTAATTTCAGATTTTATTTGAAGGTTTTGAAGCCTTTTTTTTAAGCTTGAGAAGTTACTACTCTGCAACAAGGGAGTCTCTACTGTAGTGGTTTTAGGAGTCAGCTAGGTCTGGGATGGACATTTTGACTGCCACTTTCTAGGTGCCTTTGGGTAAGATACTTAATGTAAGCTTCTGTTCCCTCATCTGTAGGGAGATAGTGACACTTTTTTTTTCTTAATTGAAGGATAATTGCTTTACAGAATTTGTTGTTTTCTGTCAAACCTCAACATGAATCAGCCACAGGTATACATGGCTTTTAGAACCTCCCTTTTGAACCTCCCTCCCTTCTTCCTCCCCATTCTACCCCTCTAGGTTGATAAAGAGAGCCCCTGTTTGAGTTTCCTAAGACATACAGCAAATTCCCGTTGGCTATCTATTTTACACATGGTAATGTAAGTTTCCGTATTACTCTCTCTCCATACATCTCACCCTCTCCTCCCCTCTCCCCATGTCCATAAGTCCATTCTCTATGTCACTTTCTCCACTTCTGCCCTGCACATAAATTCTTTGGTACCATTTTTCTAGGGCTTCCCTCACAGCTCAGTTGGTAAAGAATCCACCTGCAATGCAGGAGACCCCGGTTCAATTCCTGGGTCAGGAAGATCCCCTGGAGAAGGGACAGGCTCCCACTCCAGCATTCCTGGGCTTCACTGGTGGCTCTGCTGGTACAGAATCCACCTGTAATGCGGGAGACCTGGGTTCGATC